TTTTGGGCCCCTCACTACAGGAGGGTCATTGAGGTGCTGGAGAGGGTACAGAGGCTGGTAAAGGATTTGGAGCATGTGTCGTATGAGGACAGGCTGAGCAATCTGGGGCTGTTTAGCCTAGGGAAGAGCAGACTGAGGGGAGACCTCATCGCTCTCTACAACTATCTGAAGGGAGGTTGTACAGAGGCGGGAGCTGGTCTATTCTCCCTAGCGGAGAGTGATAGGACAAGGAAATAGATTTAAATTGCGCCAGAGGAGGTTCAGGTTAGATATTAGGAAGAATTTCTTTACTGAAATGGTTGTCAGCCATTGGAACAGGCTGCTCAGTGAGGTGGTTGAGTCACCATCCCTGGAGGTTTTTAAGAAACAAGTAGGTGTTGCATTGAGGGGAATTGTTTAGTAGGTTGATAGGGCTGGGACAAAGGCTGGACTCTATGATCTTCTAGGTCTCTTCCAGCTGAAATTATTCTATGATTCTACGACCCTATTAAAGAGATGCATAGAGATTTTCCTCATATTCTTTAGGGCATATTCAGATTATCTTTTGTTCTTGAACTCTAAGAAAGTCACAGCATGCCTTCTCATGGAAGCTGTATTCTATAGTTTTCCTTTATGTTTTGTGTTTCCTGGCTAAAGTAGAATTGTGCATTGCGACATCTCTTTTGGTTACATTACAGAATCCCACAGCTGAGGCATATTGTAGAAAATAGTGCCAATCCAGGGAGACAAACTCAAATGCAAGATGGGAAGGGGAAATTAGAAAGAGATCTTGACTGGCCTTCTCACATGGTCAAAGTGCATAACCATTGTTTGAAAGTTCACTGAAATTAGAATTGGTTTTATGTTTTACTATTTTTCAGTTTCATAACTCAGATGTCCTTTCTCATCCTGAATTCAAGACAACATTCTGTAATTTTTAGCTTTCTCCACATGTATATTTTCAAAACTTTTCACTTAATTAGCATTCCATGTTTCTGGGAGGTCTTTGCCGTGACAGAAGGAGAGAACAACATATAGAAAGAAAAAAGACTGTCAGAACTGTTTCACTATGTTATTAGATTCTGGGTAACTTTGAAATTGAATACAGTTTTACATGTACAATGTCCCTCTCAAATCACATGCAAACAAGAGAAGCAGGACAGGGGGGATGAACCTCTTCTATCTTCCTGACCTTGAAAAAAAAAAGAATTTAAAGAGGTTCCTACAATTTGCATTGTGTAACTTTGATCTTAAATCTGCCTCAGAATCTTTTCTAATATATCTCCCAAGCAAATATCAACATTGTTATTGAAAATAAATTTGAAAGGCAAAGCAGGCAGGAAACAAATAGAAAGACAGCATCTTTAAATATTCACCATGCAGTGATCCAACTGTGTCTGTACTCCTTCCTGCTCAACACTCTTCAACTCCAGCTTGGGCACCTGCAATTTCACTTCATCTAAAATTCTTTTACATTCTTGAAGGCGCTGTTCAAAGTTGGCTGGCTTCTGAAACAAGCGAAACTTCATGGAGACATCCTGCAGCTTTTTCTGAAAAGCAAGCATGGGTGAGTAGTACATGAGAAAGCAAATCATCACTGACAACAAGTCTAAGGCCTGTTCCCAAATTTTTACAATCCATTATCAGTCAGTAGTTTCTTTTTTAAAGAATTTAAAACTTTGAGGGAAAATATCAGTAGCACAGTATCTTGGTCTTCACAGGAGGAAAAATACTCTTGTATCATCCAGAGCAGTGGAAGCACCAGAGCCAGTGACAAAAGAGCCCATAATCTCAATTGAAGAAAAGAGAAAAGAAGAGTTTTTGTACTTTCTACTATGTAAAATGTTGCAGAGTGGGATGAGGATGAAGGTGTAATGGCTTGAGCATAACACATTCACATTCCAGCTCTACTGTGTTGTTGCTCTCAGTATGAGAAGTGAGCCTTTTTAGTCCCTCAAAGAAATCCAAATAAAGTGACTGGGCAGTAAGAAGCCGTAGCACAAAACATGAGATTTAGAGTATAAAATTGATTTCTATTTCAATTTTTAAAAAGCATAACCTAAAGTAAAAAATAAAGTAATTTGAAGGCAGAAAAATCTGTGACTAGTATGGCTTCTAATTTCACAATTTTCACTATTTGTTATCTTCGTGCATAAATTATACTGCTTGCTCACATGATCCCTACCTCAAGGGGAGGGGAAATAATTAAAAGGAAAGCAAAGAAAGGGCATTTTAATTATCTACTTGGATAAGAACCAATTTCTCTGTAGAGGAACAGAGCAAAATACTAGTAGGATAAGTTTTTTCACTTTTTGAAAGAAAAAAAGAATGTCACAAAGAAATGGATAAGTAGATAAATAGGAACTCAGCATCTGCAAACACACTTGATTTTTTAATCTTCAAATCCTGGACACTTTATACCAATATACTGCTGTCTGTACTATCTTGAGAAAAAACTGCAGAAAGGAACAAAATTAGCCTATAGATGGACATTACTAAAAATACTTCCCACTTCTATCAGAATCCTGTGAAGGAGGCAGGTATTGTGAGCATAAGTCAAACCTAAGTAACACATAAAGCTGCGTAGAAGCCCAGCAGCAACTTCTAACAATTTTCCTCATTAAATACTCTTAATGAAATGGAGATCCAATGGTGTGAGAAAGTCCATTCCTAGATAAACAAGTGAACAGCTGAATAAAAATAGGAAACAAAGGGTAGGAATAAGTGGTCTTTTTTTTTTCTTCAGTGTGTTTGCACACACTAAATTCGAGTTTAATTTTCATCCTCTTGTGACACTTCAACTTGATAAAGACCAAGTCCTGTGGGAAGCTTGCAATGCCATATCACTATTTGTTACAATTTTTGCTGGTCAATACATTACAAATTATCCAGGAAAGTGAGGGAATGACAGTGTTAACGGTAGAGAAAATAAAGCCATCTGTGAAAAGGCACTGAAGGATTGCACACTACTGAGGATCTGTAGAAAAAACCAAGCAAATTATATTTAATTCAAATTATATTTAATCCAAATTATATTTAATTCACCCAAAATTTAAGTAACACACCTCACAAAAGAAACACTAAAATGGATACACAGGTAGCACCTAAACTACCTATTAGCACTCTCACTTGAGTTACAATAGATAATTATAACAGTTATATACTTATAGTTATGTCTGACAGTTTTTAAAAAAATACAAGCTCAATACTTAAAAGTAGCCGGACAAGAAAAGTGTGTATTTGGAATGACTTGGAACATAAAGAACAAAGAAGAAAGTATGTGTCACAGTGTAAAAGTTATTGTATAAAGCGATATTGTGCCTGAATAAAATGTGTAGTTTTGACCACCTCATCTCAAAAAACCTATTGTAAAAATAGAATATGTATAAAGCAGAATGATAGGACAATAAAAGCTATATATCTAAAGGTCTGATTTAACAAAGACTGGAAAAGAGACGACGGAGAAGTAAAAAGTCAGTGGTATGCAAAAAAGCAGATTAGCAAATGATTCTTAACTATTTCTCAAAACTCACAAAGAAGGGGACACCAGGTTAAACTCTCATATAGGAAAACCAAAACAAAGAAAAGGAAGAACAACTTTGCATAGTATTCAGTTAAATTGTGTAACTAGCTGTTAAATAGAGAATTCCAGCAATTTACGAGATTTCAGAAAGCATTTAGACATGAGCTTTTGAATATCTCTGACCTAGAAGCTGCTCAGCTGCAAACCCCTGGGAAGCGTCACTAAAGGTGGGCCTGACTCTACCCCCATCACTGTCTTCTGGCTACTACTGAGGATATGACTTAAGGCTAATTGGAACTTTGGTGAGAAGTAACATCACAGTTCTTAAATGCTTAAAATGTGTAGGCAACTGAATTTACTTCACTTCAACAGTCAAATTGGTGGCGATATTCAATACATTCACAGCTGCCATGAACATCAGAAGATGAGTTAGTGTGAAGGAAGACAGAAAAATAAGGGAATATAAATATTCTCAACAAAGAAAAGCTAGTCCTGTAGATAAAAGGAAACTTCTTTTAATATTTTTTAAAAATTTTAAATTAATTGTTAAGAAGCCATGGATGTTATCCATAATAAAAAACTGAAGCTAAGATACCTAAAAATATCTGACAGAGATGAAGAAAAAATTGACTTTCTTTACTGTTAATACCATAACAAAATTCTTTGTCTTTCCTAATGAATAATGACATTGTTTTGTAGCCTGAGGAATTTTGGCACTAATGCTGAAAACAAAAGCAGCAAAACAGTAAAGAACCCATTACTGATTAATGGGAAAAAATGCACACTGTTTCTAAGTGTTAATTAAGTCGTCTTAAATTTCAAACAGGTCTCTTTATGTCTATTAGGGTAGATGAAATGATGCCTTAGCTAACATTTTAAATTGATAACTGCCAAATATTTCCATATATGTTAACATACTTTTAAGTGTAAATATTTTCAAATACCTCTAAAGGTATAACCAAAAAGCCTCACTGTAGTTTTACTTCTTGCAACCACAGCACATTCAAAACGCCCCTCATACAGGGTCCCCACCAGCTGGTTACATTCAGCTCTGTGTACACTAGAACTGTTGCCAACTGAATAGAAAACAGAGTAGTAAGAAGATATGGAATCTATGCTTTATCCATGCTAATTTCTTTGCTAGAAAGGAGCAGCTAAAACAGAAGAGATACCTTTAAGAACACTTCAAACTGTAGTAAGAGTACTACTTATGCTGTTTGTTTGCATGAGTGTAGGAGAAAAGGAGGAAATCAAATTTGCATACCTGTGCCACATCAATTTGGGAGAGCACTCTCTTGGCAACATCTTTACCCTGGTTTCGTTTCTTCATTTCTTCCAAACTAATCTCATGGCTTGTTAATTCAGACTGTATTTTCTATTGAAAAATAAAGACAGTAATCAGCAGGGTTTGAAGAAAATGTTTATGCTCTTAGTATTATTCAGAACGGTTGATTTTGAAAGATAATAAACTGAAGTACTACACTATATACTAATCATTAGAGGAAATTATTCAAAGAACTACTTGTTCATCAGCCTGCAAAATAGTCAGTTTAGTTCCTTTTTAAAAAATAAAACCTTCCTCTCCTGCTCAAACATGTAACTGACATTGTGACACTAATGACATAACCTTGGTAGGGAAGTTGTGACGAAACTCTAGGCAAAAAAACTCAGAGATTTCTTGCTACTGAAGGAAAACAACTACTTTCATTAGGAAGAAAAATAAAAATTAATCACAGAACAGAAAAAAAATGGAAAAGGGATTTCCTTAACTATTATTATTCTCACAATATCATCAGGCGAGTCAAAAGAAACCTGAGCAAAATATCCCGTATGTATAATGACATCATTATCTTGTGTTATATCCAAAACATTTGTGGCATATTACTGACCAGATTCCATGTTCAGTATCTGTAGAGATGCTAAATTCATAATGATGTGTAGTTCATTAATACACTAACTTGATCAATTTTCTCAAAATTTCTGGTTATCGCTTTCTCTAAAGTCAGCGTGGAATCGAATCTTATCAAATACCAGCCCTGTTGGTTTGCCATAAACTAATCTTACAAGAAACAATTAACTTAAGCAGTGTTGGCTAGTGCAATGTAATAGAAAAGAGTTCCCATAAAGTATATTTATACAACATAATTTAAAGCAATTCACATATTTTAATCTATAATTTGTTAGAAAACAAGAAACTGTTATTAGTAGAATTGCTAGAGAAGTACTACTGAGAAAAATTACCCTATGACAAAGTATGTTCCCACTAGGAAAGATATTTGAGGCCATTACTCCTGCATGAAAAAGTGATTTTATTTTTAATTTTTTTTTTAAAAATCCCCTATGTTATACAAACATTTCTCAGATATTCTAAAGACTAGCTATAAGTTTAAAGGTATACACACTTATTTATGTTGCACCATAATAACCTCTAACTGTGTAGTTCAAAGGACTACAATGCAAACAAAGAAAAGGGATTTTAACACTATAATTTGATCTTTTAAACTTTGATAACAAGTAAGAAGGAATATATACCTATTTTCATTTTTCACATTTTAATCGGTTATTAAGCACAAGGCTGTATACACTGTATGGTTTCTACTTTATAAGGCTATTACATTCCCGTAATGACTTAAATAACATTATAATGACTTGTATATTACAATACTATGTTGGGAGCAGTTTTTCACAAGTTATATTGAAAATTTATTGAAGGAAATTTTAAAAGAAAGTATTTTAAAAATACAGAAAACTATTAAGTCATTACTAAGCTGGAAAAATGTCTCAACTATCCAGTACTCCTTATAGAAATAAAATATTTTCCTGGAGCAAAGCATTTGTAAAAGCAAATCAACCTACAGAAAGCTGTCAATTTAGATTAAGCATTTTATTTAAAATTATCATAATTGTACATATTCCATTTTTCATATTTTGAGTTCTCCTCAAGGTTATTTACTGAATGGCTAGCAGTATTTGGAGGAAGTAACAACACAATTTTTCTAAGTATGATAGTTTTGGCTATATGATAGTTTGAGAGAATAAAGATGGTCAATTAATACAGCAATGAAATCAAGGAGTGAAGGTTTATTTAATAGTTCATTTTGGAGCATCTATTTTCTCCCTGTCTAAGTTTAAAATTTCTGCCTTCAAGTGTACTAGAGTTGTAACAGGATTATCTTCTGTGTTTGTGCAGCACACGGACCAAAATCGTTGGTGGTGACTCAGCATTAGTTAGCTCCTGAAGCCAGATCATTTCTTGATGTCTTGGAAGTCAGAACTACATATTCAAGGAAGCAGCAAGTCCGAGGGTTAGGAAAATACGCTGCATCACAGTCAATATTTCAACTGTTTTGCTTCTCTACCTCATCAATTAACTGATTTTTGGTTGTATTTGCCAGTTGACATTGTTCAACCTCAGAGTGAGAATGGAAAGCATATAATTGAATAGTTCTTATCTGAATAGGTCAGAGTAGCACAGTACAGATAAGAGTAGTATTTAAGCAATTAGGTATTACAGGATACTGCACAGAGATTGTTCTATCTTACATTTTAAAATTGCTCTGCAGGAGAGAGATGAAGCATCATCTATTCTGATATTAAAATGCAGAATTAAAGAGGACAAACATATTAGAGGAAAGCTTAAAAGTTATAAAGATTATAGCAAGAAAATTCCTTTTGTATTTGACACTACTTCTCAAAGGCAGAAAGATTAAAACAGACCTGAGCAGATATAGGAGCCTATGATACTCCTTTTCATTCAATTTTGACAGGACCATTTTGATATTTTGGCCCATTTTGACTCATTAATTTATTACACTGACTTCTGGACATCTACAAGAAAACATTAATTGTCTTTTTCCATTTATATTATTCCCACCTCTGCTTTTCTCAGTGGTTCCTGTCTACTTTGTCTCTTAATAAAAACTATCTTCATGTAATTTCTGGAACATCACAATATGTACTGCATGTAACTAATAAGTGCTACACAATTATTGTATAAACTATTGTGTCCTACAGGTCAAGCATTCTCATTTTCCATCACTGACATTTTTTCAGGAAGTTTATTAATTTGCTAAACTTTTAATTTTATAAATATATACATATAAATATATAAATTAAGATATAAATATATAACCCCCCCCAATTATATTTAGAAGACCAAAGGCACTGACTGTGTCCATTCTCATGTGGACTGCTTCTACAGTAAAAAGATTTCAATCACAAAGGAATGTAATACATTATTTCTCTCAATTCCTAGTCTTTACTTTAAAAAAAAATGAACAGTGAAATGTAGAGATTCTTGGTATACTGACAGCAAAAAGCAGAAAATTGGCAATGTAGCCAGTTCATGGAAAACTCTTCCCTGTCTTGAACGGAAAGCCAGAAGAAGCAACTTGACCATTTGTCTCTTTTAAACATTGTCATAAATCTAACTGCAATCTCATGCTTCAAGAAGAGCACATACTAAAAAATAACAGGGCATATAAACAAACTCTATTAACATTATTTGGGACAGGAAATTGAATTAGAAGACTTGATTATATGTCACCTCCCATCAATGTCTCCTATATAATTAGAAAATTAAAGAAATGCCAGTCAGCAATATTAAGCAAAATTGTAACAATGGAGAGTATTTTTTGGAGGAAAGAAAAAAATCAAATCAAACCCCCAGTCTTGTGTATTTAATTAAAAGGAAGTGATGTATTTAAAATCAAAGGATGAAAATACAAAACTATAATATACATAGAACGACTATTGCAGACGAATAGCTGAAAGGACAAGATTAGTTGGAGTGTACATCTAATATGTAAACACAGAACTATCATGAGCAACATTGTAAGAACTACACTGCAAAAATTGTTCGAGTTGATGTAGTATCAGTAAGTTGTAAAAAAAGTTTTGAAAGATATTCTGCGAAACTAGTTTCACATGGCAGGTCAGGGATGCCATTTTCCATCACGAAGACAATGATGACAAAATGACATGACTGAGGCAAAATGGTTAACTTGTAAGTGTTCTCTGTTTTTTTATAAACTAATTCAACATGAATTCAAATGATACTAGATTACATTTGTAACTAATGTCTCATTAACATAACTCTTACACCAGAATTGACTGAATATGAATTTGGATATGGCCTGGATATGAATTTTCAGATTTGGCTTTCTTGAATTCCAGAGAACAGCTTACTAGCTCTTCTTGTTGTATTAGGTTTTCTGCTTTGCATTTCTCTGAATACTACTCAGCTAGCCTAATAGCTGTCAAGAATGTCACTCAGTTTAACCTCATTTTTGCTTATTTTTGTGGTTGCTATCAATCTCTAAGGAATCAGACCTCAGTCTTCTGTGTGGTGGAAACAGAACATTGAGAGAGCATTCTGGCAAGTTGATCTTTACAGATGGAAAGATCATGATCCTAGCAGACATAAAAAATGTATCTGAATCAATCTCAGAACTGTTAGCGGTTAACTTTGAAAACTCTGAAAGGATAAAGAAAGCACCAGAAGATTAGAAGAAATGAAGTTGAAGTAACAGCTTTAAAAACGCAAAACTACTACGTGTCAATGATGTTACACCTTTGCAAAAAAAAAAAAAAAGAAAAACATAGAATACATATAGAAGATGACATTACTGAACTACATATAGCTGAACAAAAGAATTCTTACACCTTCCAGCACAGAATTGAATGCAAATACCTTCAACAATAGACATTTTACTAAGTAGACAATTGTGAATTCTTTGTCCCCAAATATTAGTCTGAAGGCAATGAAATATTGCATTATCCCTGTCAAGTAACACATTATACAGTTGAACAACTCTATCATTATCACATTAGTTTTGAACATAGCACAATGCTGTTTTAAAAATAGATTAATAACCACCTTCACTTAGAAAATAGGCGTGTAGTGTTTATCACTACAGAACTGAAATAATTCAAGGAGGTTATTGAAAAGGCAAAGTATATTACTTCTGCTTTTCTTGGAAATACACTACTGTTCACTTATTCTCCACATTTATATAAATCTACAGGGAGAACTACAGACAAGTCAAAGTGAAATAACTGTATTGTTTGTCTGATAATACAAAAACTCACATGTAATCGCTCAGACTAAAGTACAAAGTGGAGTTTTTCTCTCCCATTAGAAGTTATTTAATAACAAATCTACAAGTAATTATCTGAAAAATATTTTGGAATATAAATGTAATGTTTTCAGTACAGATTTATTTTCTTCCTGTCAACTAAATGGTACTTCAAAAAAAGCCAGAAATTAGCAAATTCTTGTGAAAAAGTCCTCGCTCCCTCTAACTTCTTTTTAAATTTAGAGAAATCAAAGAGACTTCAGTTGCAACTATGAGATCAAGGATACAAACAAATAATCTTCTGCATTATTGTTTTAGACACTCTTATTTCATCATTACACCTTGAGGAATCTGAACTATTTATCTGTGTGGTTGCTGTCAGACTATCTCCTCTAAATATAGCATCTTTAGTGGTACTCCAAATGAGTTGAGTTGCAGTGGCTCTCTAGCATTAAATTCTCAGTGCCACACGGTGGAGTAAGAAGCACGCAGAATTTACATTCAAAAAAATGATTCAAAGGAGAAGTTGCACAGTGCACTTTTAACTCCTCTTTCTTTCTGTCAGCTTTCAGAAAAACCTAAACTGAACTATCTTTCTGTCAGCTTTCAGAAAAACCTAAACTGATTTAAACACTTTAAAAAGGAACTAAATCCAATTTGGTTTTCTCAGTTTAATTTTTGATCATCTGAACCAAAGACTATTCCTACTGTCAATGCTCTAAACAGATTTGAAATTTTTAAGGAATCACGCAGAACTCCTAAACCCTCAACAGGTTTCTGATTGCAAATTCTCCCATATGTTCTTTTAGAAATGCAACGCATATTGCTGAACACTTTGCTAAATCCCTCAGCATGCATAAACTGACCCTTGCCCAGAAACCAACACCATTGACTGAAAGATTCCCACTCCAGCTAAGCAGACACTAATGTAGGCTATCTTATATGAATGAAGCATTTTCAGCTCTACAAAAGAGCTGTGTCAGCAGGAGTTCCGCAGGAGATGCATCCATTCAGCACGTGCCCGGTTGGCATGGCCATTCACTAAAGGAATGAGTTAGTATATATCTACCCGCATAAAATTGATTGTTTAGTCCCTTACTCTTCAAGGATTTTTAAGAACTTTACAACCAAACTTCAGAGAACTTCAATATTTGCATTAAATCTGTTCAGTTGTTAATTAAAGATTGTTTTCAATAGGTCCCACTGGCATCTTAAAATAACAACACGAAAGGGAAAAACTCAGCAGCATCTATGCTGGTTTTCCCACAGTGGATATAGCACAATCAAGTGAACTTGACTTCAGACAATAAAATTGCAGCAACAAAAACAGGTTCTGCAAAAGCACTGAGAAGAACTTTTCCCATGCAAGTGTGCTAATTAAGGTCAGCTGAGTTCTGTGCTGCTTCAGTTGTTGAAGTTCTGAATTACTTCCTTTCACACAGTCTGTAGTCATTGCCATCATTCTACATGAGGATGCACATAAACCAGATGCATCCATGGGATATGTGAAGCAGAACTGGAGATCACTACAATATAAGAGTTTAAATACAGCAGGAAAAAAAATAGCTTCATATCAAGTTTTTCTTGTGTATCAGAGATAGGTAATTGCAAGATGAGAAATTAAACTGATACATCTTGAACAAAGGGTGATTTGTATCGCATTTCATTAAAATATGTTTACATTATTCATATTTCAGGGAAGGAGAAAAAACATCAAGGGAGTCAACTGATAGCTAAGATAGTTTAGAATAGAAACTGAAGCAATAAATTGTCTGAATTTGATCCCATTCTCATACTGACATAAGTTATAAGCAAATAAATTAGAATCACTTTCAAAATAAGACTGAATGTAAATGCAATTCTGTTTTCTAATTATAAATTTTAATTCATAACTTTTTTGTCACATAAGAATATCCGCACATACCTACAAACACACAGACACACTAGAAAAGCAACTTAAAGGTACGTTTATCTACATTTTAATTCAAAAGATAGGAAAATATTTTTAAAAGAGAGAAAACTTGATTTTCAGCACTACATATATTCAGCTCTGAACTTATTTAGGATCATTTAATCTATTCCATACAAGACACTCCCTTTTTAGAATGATTTAAAAATCTACAGGCATGCCAGAAAAAAACACAACTGAATGCCTCTTCTGAAATCATTATAAGACATTTGTCTTCAATTTCCCTGTAGCCTTCTTTGCTCATTTGTTTACTTTTTTTTATCTGACTTACTAATTTTAGGTGAAATTTACATAAAGCTGCTATACATAATATTGTAAACTCTTAATAATTTTATACCAGAGATGTCTGGTTTTATTTAATTTGGATTCTTATCATTTTAATGCTGCAGTAAAGTAGATGTCATAGGAGAAAGACTGAAAGAGTAAAAATGAGAATTAGATGTACATTTTTATTTCTAAGGCTCAATAAACTATTTATAAAGAACGGGAAAAGCTGTTTCTCTTCTACTTACATGAGCTGTAATAATTGAAATATAAGTACATTTATGTGCACATCATGAAATAATTAACCATACTGTCTGTGTTTCAATGATTTAGTAACAATCCTGAGGCCACATAATCCACTTTGGGAAAGAAGAAGATTATGAGTTTCTTCTTTCTAGGATGGTAACTGGATTTTAAAGAGTCACACTGTTTATCTTTGTCATTTTAGAGTGACTGCATACTGTTCCATGACATTTATAACTATTTACATCCTCTGGACAGGTATACAATATAAATCAGAATGAAAACATGACTTTACTAGAAGATTAGCTCGAACTTCTCAAGTAATCCTACCTAAAATTTACTTGCACTTTCATACTGATAAAGTTGCAAATCTCAGTTATTAGTATGAGGCTGAGGGACAACCAAACAACCTTTGGTTGACTGAGATAACCAGTAAGCACAGTAGATTGACCTGTATCTGACTTACCTGCGCTTCCTGAGGGACCTGTGCTGCATCAACTCTGTCTGCAGTGTAGGCTGTTAGCTGTTTATCAATAACAGCAAGAGACTCTTGGATTAAGCGGAGAGTTTTATCTGTCTCCTGGGCAGACTGAATACTCTGTTCAAGACTCTTTTGTCTTCTCACAGCCTAAAAACAATAACAACATTATCAATATCCACAGCAATAATGCATATAATACATTTTTTCCCCCATGCAACTATGTTTTTCCAAAAAATGCAGGCTAAGAATCCAATCTAGTACTCCTGACTTCTGGTCATCCACCTTTTTGTATGACAAGTTCCGCATCTTTTTGCCACTCATTCAGGTTTTTTTAATAAAAAGCAAACAAAATCCTAGATTGTACAGGGAAATTCTAAAAATACAGAACCCTCAAAAAACCAATGCATGCATTGAGGTTTCCTATACAGAGTGCGAGTTGGCAAAGCTGCATAATGAAACCATCCTGACGGTGCAGTCTCTCATTCTGAAGCACAGCAGTCTTCCTGATCTTATTATATAATTGAAGAGACTTTGTTTACTGAGCATAGGGTTACTGTCATCACAATCCCATCCAACGCAATCCACTTCAGTAAGTGAGAGGGATAAAGGCTCTTGAGAAGGAGCTCTCTTCTATGAAGTATAAATAGCTGTCTGGACCAGGTAATTCCTACTCTTGACAAATAAAAAGCTGGACCCTTGTTTTGCTTTGTCTGTGGACTTGTCCAAACTCCTATCACTCTAACCACAGTCTCTTTTAGCCTGGGAAGTTGACTCTTGTTTCTCCTTCATCAGTGCCCTAGTGGCTTGCCTGCCATCAACTTTTATACAATCCTTTGTTTGAGATGGATGCTTTCCTTTCAAAAGAACTCACTTCATGGTTTACCAAATCAGAACAATAAATTCTCCTTCCGAGTTGTCCCTATCACTCGCGTATATTTAAACATTTGACATAAACGGGTTATCTTTAACAATTATTTGTATCAATTTAATATGGTATTTATCAGGTAATAAGCAAACTGTTCCATCTATCATTGTGTCCACCTGTGGACTCATATTTCGCTTAGATTACAGCTTCTGCCTAGCAGAGTTTTTGCTTTGTACAAAGCACATAATAATTACGAACAATCCTAAATGCAATACAGTTGTTCTCTGTACAAGCCCAGCCATACTGCTGACCATAGAATAAAGTGACTTTCTTTGACATGGATCAAAGGAGGAGGGAGAAATAACATTGCTATGTGTCCTTCCATTTTTCAAGTCAAATCACACTTTTTTCTCTTTGGTAAGCCAGATATACTTTAATTTGATTTCACATCTATTACGATACTCTTGCCTGGAACAAAAATATCTCTCAGCAATTCAGTGATAATATTTGATATATCTGTACCTTCATAGAGCTCAGAGTTTTATAGAGCTTCACATTTAACAAATGAAAAAGATTATTTCTTGTGAGCATTCTTGCTAGCTGTTTGACTTAGTTAAGGGACAGGGATCCAAACAGTATTTACTATATTTGTCTGTAAGCTGCTTGTGCTATTTCAAACCAGCTGATCAGATAATCTTGTATCACTGCCAGTTCCAGGAATATTCTGTGGAACTGAGCAGCTTTACACATCAGACCCATGCTGTCAGTGTTAATGGAAGCACCTGAGCCATTGAAGTATTATTACCCTACCAAATGAACCATTAAAACAGTGTAACTTCACAGTACAGTACTAAGGCTTGCTACTTAAGCGACTTTTACCTTCATCTGAACTGAGATTTTATATTACAATATTCTTAGCCTGTTCAGAGTATCAGGATTAAAAAAACACAACTTCTATTTACCTTGACACTCCTTACTACTAATTTGTAAATCTGGTTAAGATATAGTCACTTTCTAACTTTCCATTTGCGTCCTTACATGGTAGACTGAAAGACATATTAGATCAGAAACAGGGTAAGTAGCTGTCAACCACCCACAGGCAAGGACAACGTCCTGGAATTGTGGAAGAAACCCTCTCTGTTTTTATTGTCTCCTCTTTGGATAACTGGTAGGACTAACCTACGCACGTAGTTCACTCACACTGGGGACTGCAGTGTCCTATGTTTAGAAGAGCCTACCATTTAAAGGCACTTATTAAAAAAAAGTGATTCCATTTTCAGGAAAATTCAGTATAGCGGACAGAAATTTGAGGCTAAGTCCTTCTGAAAATACACACTTCCAGAAACACTTGAAGCTTTGAACCGTGGTCAAATGCTGACTCATGCTAACTACTATTTGCAGCTAGGAGCTTGCTTAAGGGTAGATAAAATTGTTGCCAGATTCAGGAGAAGCCTGCATGCATGCAATGAGGTAGTTACCACTGCATGGAAACTCACAGAAAGTCTTATTATTTTGTGACAAATATGTGTTGATTGAAAAATTATCAACTCTGTGCTGGTATCAGCCAAAACTATGTATATCAAAATCCTGTTCTAGAATGCAAATGGAAAAATGAAAACATTCCCTAATGAATTGATCAACTATTAAAGCAGATAAAGTTAAAAAAAACAATTACAACAAATTGTTGCCTGAGTCTGACTGAAATTTATGTCTGGATTTAAAACAAATATGAAGTCAGATAAGTATATGTGCATGTTTGCAATGTCTTTATGCACACACAAAGTAATTATGTACATATACACACACACAAGGACAAAACATTCCCCTTTCATTGTCCTCAGAGAGAATATGATTACATACTGAGAACATGTGACATTCTGTATCTTCCAAGGGAGGTGAAAGTACATCTTTTCCAAAAAGACATAAACAGTTTAGATGAAATCAGATCAAGATGGGAATGTAGTCGTACAAAACAGGAATTATTTTGGCAGTGGGAGTGGATCCACACAGCTGAAGGCTGTGAAATGGCACCTTCACATTTGTGATGATTTTCTCAGGTATAAATGGGTGCTGCTTTAATGTTTTCTGTCTGTATTTCTTACTGGAACCAGACACCATCCTGCATGCTCACCTCAAGTCAAGCCTCTCTACTGACGCTGTTCTAGTCACCCAACAAATGTAATGAAACAGTCTCCACAGTAATCTTATAAAAGGTACAACACATTAATGTAATGTAAGATATTTCTCCAGCACACAACAGCTGACTCAAAAACCTAATCCTGTTTACTAAGTAGGTCCCTGACACTATTACTGGCATTGCAGAATACTTACCAATTCAGTCAAGGGGAATGCCACAATATAGAGCAGGCTTATTCCTCTCTTCCAGTAGAAGAGAGTTGCTGATGGAGGTAAGCATTAGCGGGCTTTACAGAGAGGGGCAGATCTATTGCACACTCAGTTACCTACAGTCACTGTAAACTGGAACTCAGGCTACATATACGAACCTGAATTTCAAATTTGTCCTTAAAACTCACATATTTATGTGTGTGAAAATCCATATATGCTATTTTTAAAAGAAATATAAAAGTTGAAATTTTATATACCTACAATACAAAAATATTCTAATTTATGATGCTCTGTTTTGGTTTTTTTGTTGTTGTTTTTTGCTTTTGCGGTTTGGGGGGGGGTGATGGGTGTTTTTTTTTCCCTCTGAAGGATTACAGCTTTTCCACTGTGGAAGAAATAGATAGTTTAACATCACAATGTATAACAGGAAGCTCTAGTTCTGCTATCAGATCATAGTCAATAAAGCTGAAGACTTTGGTCTCTAAAGGGAAGTGTCTGACAGTCAGTTGCTAAATAGGAAATCTCAGGAAAATAACTAACTGTTTAATTATTTCTGAGCCAATGAAATGTTGACCGCTGTCAAGAAAAGCAGAACCAAGCAAAAAATCTTCTGCCAGGCACTAGCAGAATGAAAGAGAAAAGAAAAATATTTATGGAGTGAAATTTTTATTAAAATCTCTGCAGGCTTTCATAGAACTACCATTATTTTTTATGATTAAGCAAAACAGTTAAGTTTTCTGATACGGGGTGTTGCATTGATATTTAAAAAATATCAGTGATAAATGCAGGAAATGGTAACACTGCATATTATCCATATAAAATGCCATATTAAGGGAAAGGCTGCACTGAGAGGTGATCAAATATCAGGAAAGTCAGAGGTGCTCAAGCAGTTGCGTATGACTGTAGCTCTTTCTTTGATGTTGAATATTATAAAACTGCATTTATAGACTCTTCCACTTCTTCCTTAAATAATACATTTCATCTAACTAATGACATTAGTCACACATGCTGTTACTAAGATGTTTATTAGAGTTTTATGATTAAAGTCAAGTAGAGTTTTGTTATTGAGACAGTACTCAGTAGCTGTACTGTGGGAGAAAAAATGAACAAACTCTTTCAAAAATTATAGTAGTTTTACTACAGGGTATATTTATTTAAAATATAGAAGCAAAATCATTAATTAGCTTATAAGATACAGCTCATGGAAAGGGGTCTGTTAAGAAAGGCAGACATAAGTAAGCTCTTTTTTTTTAGTTCAGATATACTCTGTAATTATTGAGAAAAGCATAGAGTAAAGTTAAAAAGTTAAAAGTTAGACAATTTTAATTCCTTAAATTACTTTAAAATTTAACCTAATTCTTGGTGTTATAACAGTTGTGTCTGAGATATATGACAACATCACTATAAATTTTGCTTCAAAGTTTTAGTGTGTTGATCTCTGGGTTTTGTTTGGAATCAGAGTGGATTAGTGTTTAGACTTAAATTAGAAAAACCTTTTCTAACATTCAAAGCATTTATTTTGAGCCCAGCAATTTTTAATATCCTCCAAGTTAGAACTAATTCTTCTGCAAATTCTAGTAACATTTCATAGTGTTTTTGTAAAGTAAGTGGCTAGAAAAATTTCACCTTTTAGTAATAAAGTGATATTTATCTTTGATCAACTGTATTCCAAAACTGTAAACCATACCAAGGAGCATTTTTTTATCTCTTTAAGATATCACTGTGGACAGAGAGTGCCTCAGAACTTGTAAAAGCAGCCCTCTTAGCAGCCTTCAAAGTAATCACGTGCAGATGTGGCATAAAGCATTCTCTCTCCTCTCGAGAGGAGAACAAAACAGAAAAATTGTGTCAAATGAATGTGTGCTCTTCGAAAGAAACAATGGATAATCTTGAGAGGACTCCCAAAAGAAATTAAGATATAGTCCCCAAGAATAAAGATTGAATCTAGCATAAAGCCCATCTGAACAATAAATGTTTTGTATGTTTTTTTGCACACATAGTCTCAGGAATATCTGGCTGATATTTCTGAAGTTTGCTGAATATGATTTAAATCACTTTCAGCATTGCAGGAGGTGATAGCCACTTGCAATATTAGCTTGAACTTGCTCAG